CCCGACCCGCCCGCCTGCCTGTAGGGGGCGCCTGACTCTCCTGGGCTTCTTCTTTACAGCGCTCCGGAGACCAGAGCAATTGCATCAGCTAAAGAAATTTCCAGACGTTCACCCTCCCCGCTTCTGCAGGTCCCTGTGGATTTGGGACCCCGTTCGTCCCCCCACCCCACATCCCTGCACAGGAAACCCCTGGCCCCTCCCCCTGCCCCCTGCAGGCCCCGCAGGGTGCTGTCCGCCCAGGAGCAGGCCCGCGCCGCCATGTGCAGCCCGGGCAGCGAGCGGCCTGGCCGGAGGGCGTGTCCCAGCTCCGCGCCTTCTGGTTGTATCAGCTCCAGCAGGAGAACCAGCTGAGGATCTGCTTCCCTGCTTCAAGCTCCTCTTCCTGAGCTTTAAGGAGGCCTTGGAGGCGGGAGACTGGGAGGAGGAGGACTGGGACCCCGAGCCCGCGCAGCACCCCGGGGCGGGGCCCGAGGAGGGGCCGTCCCAGGGGATGGGGCCCGGCGGGTGGCAGGGCCTGGATCAGCCCGAACAGGGTGGGCTTGGGGACTGGGGCTCGGACACCCTGGCGTCAGACCCCGATGAGTCCGAAGAGCTGGGCCTGATGCCCACCGAGCTGACCCCTCAAAACGCGGCACCGCTGGGCCTGGGTCCCCAGCACGCTGACTGGACCCAGGGCCTTCCCTGGAGGTTTGGGGGGGTTCCTACCTGGTCCCACTGGCCGAGCCCCTATGTCTTACCGCAGAGCTTTCCCCAGGAGATCCTGCCCCCAGGGGAGCCCATGCTGCTGGAGCTGGTCGCCACCGGGGAGGTGGACCTTGCACTGGCCGACACCTGGCTGCTGCGCCTGCCGGCCATGGCCATGGTGGGCGGCTCCGACGGCACCTACCTGCGGCACATGTCGCCGCGGTGGGTCCGGAGGACGCCAGAGCCGCGCTGGGTCCTGCTGCTGGCGCCCAATGACCAGTGTGTGCTGCGGTTCCAGAGCCCAGTCCCGGGCCAGGACCTGAGCCCCTGGCAGCTGAGCGTCCTGCAGAGCTGCCTAACAGGCCACGGTGCCTGGCTGATCCCCGCGGGCACTGCCCTGCTGATGTGGGGGTTCAGGGTCCTCTCTTACTCTCCCTGGAACAAAACAGAGGCAGAGGAGGGCGACGCGGCATCTGGGCCAGAGGCCTCCCCCCAAGGGCAGGGTCCTGGCTTCGCTGGGACGGGCAGCTGGGGGGCCCGGGAGAGCCTGGGCCCTGAGGGAGCTTCCCTACTTCCAGCCCCTCAGCCCGAGGCCCAAGTGACCACCAGAGACTGGGAAGGACAGGCGGCTGCCCCTCCTCCCCAGCCAGGGCAGCTGTTGGCCGGGGACGGGGACTTGGGCCTGTGGTGGGAGGATGGGGCGTGGCCCAGGGACTGACCGGTTCTCAGCGGGAAGCAGCACCCATGTCCTGCTGGGGACGCTCGTGGAGTTGGAGCGTGACTGTGGCGCAGGTGTGTTTGTGGCTCGGGGACAAGACCCCTGCCCACCTGCCCTGGCCCGGCCACGGGGGAGCTGTCCTGTGGGAGGTGACCCGGTTTCGAATGTTGGCTCTTTTATGCAGTTTGACCATTGGGTTCCTGTTTCTTTGTATGTTGTTTTTTCAATAAAACGAGCATTTTGCATCAAAGCCTTGGCGTCATCCTCAGGTGGTCCCAGCTGATGGCCTGTGGTCCCCGGTCTGGGTGAACCCCGTGACCGTTTCAATCTCCCGGGAGGCGGAGAGGCGAGGGCTCTGGTCCGTCGTGGGGTTCAAGGTGGGGGTTGTTTCACGGGGGTTAGCACGTTGCGTATAAACAAAAATACAGCCTCAAAGAAGGGCCGTGTTGAACAACAATGAGTGCTCCTGGCATAAAACTGAAACCCACAGGCTGAGCTAGGGGTAGAAGGTTCTCATCCTGTTCATGAGACAGAGGCTCCGCCGGCCCCGGGAGAAGGCAGCGCTGCAGGTCTGGTCACCAGGGTGCGGTGGGCGGGGAAGAAGCTCTTGATTGGCAGCTTCTGCTCATCAGTGGCCCATCTGGAGGCTCCCACAGTCCTCAATTCGGGGGAGGGGGGGCTCTTACTGCTGCGTGAGGGGTGACGGACCAGCAGGCCCTCCTACTGACTGGCATCTGCGGGTCCCACATCGCGAAGGCAGCCAGTGCTCACTGCGTGGGACCAGGCAGGAGCAGAGCTGGTCGGAACCAACAAACCTCACAGTTCTGCGCGCACTCAGAGCCGCGGACGTGCCCAGCTCCTCCCAGAGGGGCCCACCTGGCCTCCCCTCCTCGCCCACCCTCCAGGTTACACATGAGGCCTTTCAAAGGTGAGGTTCACAGTCCGAGTCAGCCCCTTTCTGCAGGCCGCCCAGCCTGGGGGCCCAGGACCCCTGGAGGGGGCGCCACGGGGTCCTCTATGGCCGGTCCTGGGAGAAGGCAGTGCTGTGTGCACTTGAAAATCTCGCTCTGCGTTTCAGCCTTGGGGGGAAGAGGGGGGGAGGCGCACTTCGGGGGGTGAAGCGCTCACCGCTCCACGGTCTGGTGGCTCCAGCCCCACGGGATCTGCCCAGCAGGCACGCAGGACGCACCTGCCCCTCCCTCCTGTGCCAGTGCCCCTGGGAGACGGCCGTGGGCCTGAGGCTCTGGGGAGTCGGGACAGGAGGCCAGGAACCAAGCTGTCCTGGAGGGTGGGGAGCCGCCCGCCCCCGCTCTTGGTGGATGCTGTCCTTGGCCCGGGGTCACCTGTGTGTCCTGATGGGGCCCTGTGGGCTCATGTCCGGCTGGGCCCCTCGGCCGCTGACCTGCCTGGTCACAGTGGCCGAAGGTGGAAGCAGCCCACGTCCACCGAGGGGGTGAGTGAAGACCGGTCCATCCGAAAAGGGACGCGGGTTCCACCTCGGAAAGAAGGCGGCTGAGCCAGGGGCGGTGCCAAGTGAGGAGCCAGGCAGGGAAGTTCAGAGCCTGCAGAGTCCAGCACCGAGGTTCTGGGGGGTCAGATGTACAGGGACAGCCAGGAGGGTGTCCCCAGGGCCAGGGGCGGGGCTGGGGGGCTGGTGTTAAAGGGGACAGAATTTCTTTTTGGATGAGAAGGTTTTGGAAATGGATCGTGGCGACGGTTGCACAACATTGTGAATGTCATTAAGGCCCCTGGGCAGAGGCCCAGCCTGGGTCTCAACCCTGTCCAGGTCCAGGGGTGTTGGGGTGGGGTGCAGACACCCCGGGGAGAGGGAGCGGGTCTGGAGGTGACTGCACCCCATCAGCTGCTTGGGGTCCCACCCAGGTGAGAGCTGCTTAGACCCTCGCTATGGCCGCGCCCTATTGCCCTTGGTCAGAGCCTTGGTCACCTTGCAGTCCTGGCGCCGCCCAGCGTGCCCCCACCCCCCCCTCCCCCCGCGCCCCCACAGTGTCCCTCTGCGGTGTGCCCCCACCCTCCTCCTGCCCCTTCCTGCTTCTCCAGCACCGGCAGCCCGTCTCCCTTCGGTCCTGCGCCCTCTTCCCTAGGCGCCCCTTCCCGCCCTCTCCTGGCACCCTGGCCCGGTTATTAATATCCATTCACATCCGGCTGGCGCAGGCAGCGGTGCAGTCCCAGCGGCCGGCTGGCGGGAGCCCGTGCAGATCAGGAAGGGCACTCAGCTGGGCTGTCCAGGCGGGACGGCAGCCGGACTCCCCTTCGTCACGAGCCCGGGACCCTCACGACCCCTGCGTGGCTGCAGGCGCTCGACCTGCTATCGGTGACAGAGGTGAGCGCGGGGCATCCGGTGCGGGGCGATGGAGGGCCATGGAGCTGCAGGTGTGTGCGTGGGCTCAGCGGGGCTTGGCGTCGCTCTGGGGCTCCAGGGGCTCCGGAGCGGTCCCCAGCAGCCGCCTGGAGATGCGAGGCGCCTCCCGGGTGCTGGGACCCCGCCCGTGCAGCTCGGCCTCTCGGCAGCCCCGTGGGGAGGCTCCGGGACTCAGCAGGTCGGAGGGGTCCCCTGCTGGCTGCGCGGGGTCCTGGGCAGTGTCCTGCACCCCAGGCCCCTGTCCCCGCACTGGGGGCCCAGGTGCCGCTGGTGGGTCGTCAGCCTGGACGCAGAGGGGAAGCCTGGAGCCAGTGTTACCGGGTGTGGATGTGGGCCATCCAAGGGCCTCCCCTCCGTTAAGTGTTCCCATGTTTTCAGCCTTTTTTTTTCTTATGAAGATAATCCTCAGACACCTGAGGTGTGCAACTCCCTGAGTTTTTTAAAAAATTAAATTGAATATAGAGCATTGATTAAAAAAAAATGTTTTTTCCTCCAGGAATGTCAGGCTACAGACCATTCCTAGCGCCCACTGAGCACTGAGCCTAGAAATAGCCACTTCCTCTGTGCCCTGGCGTCACAGGTGCAGCACCCGCAGGGCAGCAAAATACATTTTTATTGATTTCAGAGAGGAAAGGAGAGGGAGAGAGAGAGAAACATCAATGATGAGAGAGAATCACTGATCCATTGCCTCCTGCAGGCCCCACACGGGGGATCGAGCCTGCCACCCTGGGCATGTGTCTGTGTGAACTCCTGGTTCATAGGTCGACGCTCAACCACTGAACCACGCTGCCGGGCTGACCTGCACCCTTAATGGGTACCTTTTCCTGCAGGACACGGGTGACCTCTCTGCAGGGATGGCCCTGACCCCGGAGCCCGCGAGCGGGTCCCCCATCCTGGCTGCGAGGGGCGGTCCCACGGCCGAGCCACCCGGCAGCCTCAACGCGTCCCTGAACAGCTCGTGGGCCAGCTCCACGGGGCCCAGCTCCCTGGAGGACCAGGTGGCCACAGGCACCCTCGGGGTGGTGCTCCTGGCCATGGGCACGGTGGGCGTGGTCGGCAACGTGTACATCCTGGTGGTCCTGGGCCGCTTCCCGCGCGCCTCGGCCTCCCTGCGCGTCTACGTGGTCAGCCTGGCGCTGGCCGACCTGCTCTACCTGCTCAGCGTCCCCTTCGTCGTGGCCACCTACGTCTCCCGGGAGTGGCACTTCGGGGACGCGGGCTGCCGCGTGCTGCTCAGCCTGGACCTGCTGACCATGCACGCCAGCAGCTTCACGCTGGCCCTCCTGAGCGGCGAGCGCTGCGCGGCGGTGCTGAGGCCGCTGGACGCGGCGCGGCGGCCCGGGCGCTACCGCAAGGCCCTGGCGCTGGGCGCGTGGCTGCTGGCGCTGCTGCTGGCGCTGCCCATGGTCCTGGCCGTGCGGCTGGTGCCCAGGGGCGGCAAGGGCGTCTGCCTGCCGGCCTGGGGCCCGCGCACGCACCGCGCCTACCTGACCCTGCTCTTCGGCACCAGCATGGTGGGCCCCGGCCTGGCCATCGGGCTGCTGCACGCGCGCCTGGCCCGGGCCTACTGGCGGGCGCAGCGCGCCTCCTTCCCGCGGGCGCGGCGGCTGCCCGCCCCCCGGGTGCTGCGCCTCGTCCTGGGCATCGTGCTGCTCTTCTGGGCCTGCTTCCTGCCCTTCTGGACCTGGCAGCTGCTGGCGCAGTACCGCGGGGCCCCGCCGCTCCCGGCCCGCGGCGCCCGCCTCGTCAACTACCTGACCACCTGCCTCACCTACGGCAACAGCTGCCTCAACCCCTTCCTCTACACGCTGCTCACCAGGCACTACCGGGACTTCCGCCGGCGCCGCCCGGGCCGCCAGGGCGGGGTCTGCACCTGAGCTCCAGGACAGGGGTGGCCATGGCCCCTTGCAGCCCCCACCCCTGCCGACAGCCCCTTCCTCTGCCACTGATGTTCCAGGCCCTGCCCTCGCTTTTATAATAAAGAGCAGCCGCTCCCTGTAAACTCGGGTTAATGACGGCCCCCGTGGCAGCGATGCTGTCACATCTGCGGGACTGGGCTGCAGGCAGCCCGGGTGGGGCCAGCACAGTGCCCGCCGCAGGCTGGGGGAGGGGCATCGGCTGCACCCCACCTTCCTCTGGGGAGGGGGCCCTTGAACCTGGGCTGTCCCTCCTGAGCACGTCCATGGGAGGGGCAGCCAGCAGGCCCAAGAGCGAGGAGGTCATCGTGGCCATGGTCACTCGACCACCTTGGTTCTGTGGACCATCTGCAACCCTTTGGCCAGTCCCCTGCCCGGGCCCCTGTCCTGGGAAGGCACTGACCAGGGCCCCCTCTTCCTGGGCAGGGGGGCCAGTGGAGGGTGTGGGAACGGAGGGTCAGGGGAGGGGACGCTCGGTCCGCGTCCAGCCCTGGCTCCGGGGCAGCTGGTTAGCAGCGGGGACGGGAGGGCTCCTGCCGTCCGACGGAGGAGCACACGGAGGCCGAGGGAGCCCAGGGTGACGGATGAGTTCTCTCGGCACTTAAATGTCACCCACCAACACCCAGACCTGCGGATGAAGAAGCAAAACCCCAAAGCCAGGCTCAGCCCCCGGCACTGGGCGTCCAGTGCTCACGGAGCCCCTGACCGCCGCCCCAGGCCCCCCTGCTGTCCACCGCAGGGCGTTCAGGCTGCGCCGGGTCTTTAGAAGCTTCCGGGTCAGTCTCCAATGTTCAGTTCCCCCGGGGTGTGTGGAGGGAGGGTGTCTGTCCGCCCTGCTGGAGAGCAGGTCACCCAGAAAAGCAGTGAGGCCCGTGGTCAGGAGCCGGGGCCGCGTGGCATCCTCTGAGGCCCTGGCCACCCCGCTGGCGGCTGGGCTGGGGAAGGAGACCATTGGACCCAGGAGTGTGGCCCGGGACGAGGCGCCTCCCACCAGGGAGCGTGTGGGTCATCGAGTCCGTAAAAGGGGAAGGACCACAGCGACCGTCTTCCCGAGGAGGAGGGGAGGCTGGGAAGGCCAGCCAGAGCCCAGACCCTCAGGAGGAGATCCATACACTCGATTACGCAAGTCACTTAAAACCCCACGCAGAGCCAGACACCGGGAGGCAGACAGGACGGACCCTCTCACCCGGCAGGGGCGCTGCGGTCAAAGGCGGGTCAGGGTCTGACGCGGGCCCAGCGCTCCCACTGCTGGGTCTGCCCCACAGTCCGACATGCGACAGGTCTGAGGGGAGGTGCTGTCTCAGCATCAGTTTTAGGAATCAGAGGCCCCCGCGACGTTTGGGTGGATTTATGACGTGGGACCCCAGGCGGGGGAAGGGCTGCGTTTCTGAGTTAACAAAAGGCGTCGCCCCGAAAGGGACTGATCATTGGGATAGACCTAAGGATGTTGGTAAACCAGCAGGCGGATGGACTGCGTCTGCGACCTCCAAGGGAGACACGAGCAATCAGGAGCGAGGCTGCGCTTAGCGTGTGTGTGTGTGTGTGTGTGTGTGTGTGTGTGTGTGTGTGTGTGTTCCTGTGAGGAGCGGGAGCCCTGGACACACTGACCACTCAGAGGAGTGTCTCATCAATGTCCTCTGCTCCACGGCTCCCGGGAGGCCGGGGTAGTGGGGGCGGCTTTGCGGGACGGGCTGGAGCTCGGCTGGACGACCGTGGGCACCAGAGGCCCGGACGGGACTGGCTGGGACTGGGTGCCCAGCGGCATCAGGAGAGGAGCCGGGTGCCAGGCCTGGAGCCCCCCCACCCACCCCGTCCCTGTCCCCACCCTCTGCCCTCCCCGAGCAAAAATGGGAGCTGGGTGGTGCTGGGCCTGTGAGCAGGACAGTGGAGGGCCTGGCACCTGGCGGGGAGAATGAAAAAAAGGATGAATGCGTGAACGGAGCCCCTCACCCGGGACCCACCCACTACCTTGCCTTCCCGGAGGGGATGGGGGAGGGGGGGTGGGGGGGTGGGGATGAGCCCAGCCAGAGGCAGGAATTCACAGCCCAGCCAGAGGTGTGGCTCCAGGCGGTGCCAGCAGGCAGGCGCCAGGACCGCAGTCTGGGGGCCGTGATGGGTTTACCAGGTGCAGGCACATTCCTGCCCAAAGGCAGTCGGTCTCTGGGTCTGGCAGCTGATCACTGCCAGGCCGGGGTGGGGGTGGGGTGGACAGGGCCATGGCCCAGGGGCTTTTTAGCCCAACCCCCACCTTCCGGGGCCCAGCGGGAGGGCAGGGGAGCCCCAGTTGCTGCTTGGAGCAGACACCCAAGCCCAGAGGCTGGGCCCCTGCACCCTCAGTCATTCATCCACAAAGACACACACTCCAAGTTCCCTTCCCTCCTCCTCTCGGGGACTCACTCCTTGGGGAGTTGCACCTACAACTGGTGGACATCGTTTACCTGCCTGGGAGCTCTGCTCCCGGGACTGACCTCACCTCACGGGGCTCCTGGGGGGGAGGGTGCAGCTGGCACAGGTGACGGCCGAGCCAGGGCAGTGACAGCGACACTGGGCGGAGATGGGCCCTGCCCGGGCGGCCCGAGCTGGTTGCAGACCTGGCCTCCTCACGCCTGTCACCAGTTCTGACCGCTCACCTGCAGGGCCAGCCTCGGTGCAGGGCGCTGGGTCCTCTCGCCCCTGGACGCTCAGGAGCCCGGCCGTCAGGCCGGCAGAAGGTGGGAGCCTGTCCCGTGTCGGGGGACAGGTGGCCAGAGTCTAGCCGGGGCCCCTGCACCCACAAACCATCCACCTGGAACCCAGGGACCCGGGGCCATGCACAGGGCAGCGATTTCCACTGGAATTCCAGACGGGTGACGCTGCGCAGGACGCCGGCGGCGGCCCCCAGCCAGGAGCGCTGGGAGCTGCCTTTCCAGGCCTCCGAGTGCCCGGCCGCGCGGGGGTGGGGCGGTTCTCCTGGGGGCGGCAGCCCCAGACGGCCCAGGGATGACCCAAAGGCCACCTTTCCCACCGAGGGCAAGAGCGGAGGCCGAGGCTGGTGGGTGGGGTGGTGAGCGCTCAGCTCAGGGCCCGTCCAGCCCCCCCCTCGCTGCACTCCCCACACACGCATCCCCTGGTCCCCAAGGTGCCCCCTCGGAGGGCTCGCCCGTTACTGTCACTAAGTTCCCGCATTCCTGCTCCAGAGCTGAGGCCGGGTCTGGGGCTCGAGGGCTGCCCAGGCCGCAGGGCGAGGTCAGCTGGGAGCACCCCAGCTCAGTGGGCAGGCACCCGAGTGTGATTGAAAGTCCAGAGCCTGTGCCTCACCCTAAAACTATGTCAGCGTGGAACACGGAGGAACACGGAGGAACACGGAGGCGCCGGGCGTGGCCCGTGCCAGCAGGCTCCCTGGGGCCGCCAGGACCAGGCCTGGGCCCGAGGGGGGGAGGGGCACCTCGGTTTCTGCCCTGGGCCTCCCAACACTCCATCCTCATCTCACGGCCGTGTTCTCACCCCACAAGTCCTGACAGCCCCCCGCAGCCCCCCAGGTAAGGGCAGGTCTCTGCTGTGTGCGGTGGGCGGGGGGGCAGTGTTGAGGTGGGACCCGGGGGGGGGGCAGCAGGTGCGAACAGGGGCCCACCTTTTCCTGGGGACGAAGCCACAGTCCCGGAGCCCACTCGGCTGTGCAGGGCCCTTCCCGGTGGGAAATGGGGGCCACACCGAGGAGTTCGGGCTGGCCGTGGGCCCTACACCTTCTGTTCTGGAAACTCAAGATCAAGGTGAGAAGCTCCAGGTTGGTCTGGAAGCCCTGAGCTGGGTTGGACCAGAGAGGTGACCTGTGCCCTGCACCTGCCCCAGGGCCTGGGGGCTGAGGGTCAGTTTCCCAGCTCGGCCTCTGGCTGCTCTTTCTGCTGCAGCTGTGTCACCGCTGTCCCGGGCTGTGCATTTGGTTCCGGGAGTGAACCTGCTGCCCCGAGGCCTGCCCGGCGTGGACGCCCACCCGGGGCCATGGGGCTGGGTTCTGGAAGAGGTGTCCTCACGGGACGGCCCGGCTGGTGTCCCAGGTCCTGGGCCCCAGGCCCTGCTCACTGGGACCTTCCTGAGGGAGCTGTGGCCCCACAGGGCATTGTCCCGGGCGACGGGACCCCGACTTGGGCACAGGGAGCCGTCCTGAGGGAGGGGCCGTGCCCCCAGCACCCAGAGCGGACACAGGGCGGGGAGAAGGCCGGCTCCCTACTCGCAGGAGAAACAACCGAGACGTTAGCCAGTCACACGCAGCTGATTGTAAGGCACCTGTTCCATGGGAGGGACGAGAGGGGAGGGGCTCGGCCGAGGGCGCCGTGGGGCCCGTGCAGCCCGGGGGCCGCGCTACGTGAAGGCCGGGTCAGCGATGCTGTGGTCGGGGTTGCAGGTGAAGGCGATGGTGACGGCGTAGCGGGTGCCCCAGTGCACCCTCTCCACGCGGTGCAGGTTCTCGGACCCCGAGGTGAAGAAGGACACGCGGCCTGGGGAGGAGGAGAGAGATGTGACCCGGCCACGTGTGGCCTCTGCAGCCTGCATCCTACCAAACCGGCACCAGGACCCAGGCGGCGGGGGGAGGCCCACAGCAACCGGGACTGCCTGCCCACGGACTGCCTGCCCACGGACTGCCTGCCCACGGGACTGCCTGCCCCTGGGACTGCCTGCCCACAGACTGCCTGCCCATGGACTGCCTGCCCACGGGACTGCTGATGTGGGAGCAGGGCAAGAGGGAGGGAACCCGCAGAATCTGGGGGAGTGGCGGGCGGGCCCTCAGGGCAGGGCGAGGGCACCCCAGGCCCGTTGTCCGGGCACCAGATGTGGCGGGTGTGTGTGCGCGCCCTGGGGCCACGCTGGGGTGTCTGTGATGACACTGTGGCTTGCAGTGGGGCTTCACGATACAGAAGTTCTACTCAAGCATTTATTGGGCTTAAAACGCCCCCCGGGAGCCCCAGGGGGCACCGCACGCTCCCCCCAGGACCTGGCTCTCCTTCCCCACAGGTCCCAGAGGGAGGGGATGAGCCGTGTGCTCAATGCAAGGTCGATGGCAGCGCCGTGTCCCACTGTGGGGGCAGCAGGGCCCCGGGCTCATTGTTAGCTGCTGGGTCCCGCTGGGGAGGGTCGGGGCGGAGCACAGGGCAGGGTGCAGGGGGGCCGGGCGCATGGGGCCGGGCAGGCATGGGAGCCACTCGGCCGGGACAGCAGAGCCTGAGGACACGCTGCCTCACCCTCTGACAGATGGGTCCCCCGGGGGTCTCAGCCCAGCGGGCACAGATCCAGGCAAAGCTGGGCACACAGCAGGCGCTCCATAAACGCAGCACCCACCCCAGAAACCCCCCACCCAGGGCCGCCTGCAGGTCCCACCTGCTCTGGGCTCCACCGTCTTGTTGGCCCCCTCCTCCATGAACACGAACCGGCCCCCGCCGAAGTCGTCCAGGTAGTCGGAGAGGTACAGCAGCGAGGTGTAGTCGAAGGAGCCATAGGTCACCTGCGGGCCAGGGGGAGCGGCACCGCTGAGCTGAGCCGGCACTGGCTCTTCCAGCGTGGGCGTCAGGCACGAGGCTCTCCGGCCGCCTCGCCTCAGGGGCCCTTTCCTGCACCCACGTCCGGCCCTCCCTGGGATCCTGCACAGGCACAGCCCGGCCCGTGCTCCTGGGGAGTAGCAGGTGCGGGACCCACGGCCAACGCGTTGACGCGCAGGGCGAGGGTGGCAACAAGAGCTCCTGCGCTTTCTCCGGGGGAGGGGCAAAGATTTTTAAAAACCAGGGTCGCCCGGCCAGTGTGGCTCAGTGGTTGAGCATCCATCTATGAGCCATGAGGTGACGGTTTGATCCCCAGTCAGGGCACAGGCCCGGGTTGCGGGCTCAATCCTCAGTGAGGGGCGTGCAGGAGGCAGCCGATCCGTGATTCTCTCTCATCATTAATGTTTCTCTCTCTCCCTCTCCCTTCCTCTCTGAAACTGATAAAAAAAAATACACACACATAAAAACAACAACAACAGGTAACATGCATCCCATAGAGAACACGCTTGGACGCCCGGGCAGAGCCGAGCTGGGGCGGCCGTGGACAAGCGCCTGGTGCGTGCCCCCCGCCAGCCGCCCGGAGGCCCACCTTGTCCACGTGCGCGTGCCAGTACTCGTCATGGGCCGTGCGGGCCTCCGTGCTGTTGATGCGGGAGAAGAAGGTGGGCTTCGTCAGGTACAGCGAGGACGCGCTGATGCCGAAGGCCTGGGCGATTGCGAGCTGGACCTTCTGCCTCACGTCCCTGTGGGAGGACATGGTCAGCGGGGCCGGTGGCCTCGGAGGGGAGGATTCCCCACGGTCCCGCCATGCCCACCTGGGGCTGGACTGGAGGAAGGCGGAAGATGGACATGCACACAGCGCCCCACACCCGTGTCACAGGGCATCGTGTGCGAGACCCGGACCCTGAGGACCAGCCCCTTGGAGGAGTGACACGGCCCCAGCCGGCTGGGCAGTGCCATGGGACAGACGGGCAGCGGCAGGAGGTGAGCGGCCGTCCCACGCCCACAGGTTCCCGAGCAGCGTGGAGGCCGGACTGAGGGTGAGCTGTGCACGGCCAGGGGCTGGGCGACCGGAGACACAGGCCCCTCCCTGGCATGTCCAGGGGGCTGGGCTCCAGGCCGCACACCTGCAGCCCTGTGCCAGGTCCCAAAATGACCTCCCGAGTGGGACGGCTTGAGCACGACAGTGTGTCCATCATCCCGACCTTTCCACACCACGGGCCGGCCCCCAGCTAAGGACACTCCCTCCTGGCAAGGGCCCTGACTGCGCACAGACGTCTCAGCAGGAACACCGATCTAGACTGGCAGTGCGGCTCAGTGGGTGAGCGTCGGCCCAGGAACCAGGAGGTCTCGGTTCGATCCCACTCAGGGCACATGCCCAGGTCACAGGCTCGGTCCCGTGTGGGGTGTGCAGGAGGCAGCCGATCGATGTCTCACTCGGACATCGACGTTCTGTCTCCAGCTCTTGCAGGACCAGGGAGCTGCTCGCGGGGCCGTGACGAGGCTGTGGGCCTGCCTGGCTCTGTGACCCGCCTCGCACTGGCCACTGCTTCCTGGCTGGGGCCTGCCGGGTCATTGGTGGTCG